TTTAATTTTTTTATTTTCACCGATCAAAATAAAAGAGGTAGGCATGTACATTTATTCCTACAATAAAAGTTATATAAAAATAATGGTGTTTCCAACTGTATATTTATCAAATTCTTTAATATTATGAAATCCCAACTTATATACACTTGAACATGAGATAACAGAACTATGACATCAAATAAGTTGCAAAGCTGAGTTAGAAAAAAGTATTCTAAATATACGTTTAAAAATATAAGCACTTAATCTAGCAATGAAAATAGTTGATGGGGGCTAACTTTTATGGCATACATATAATTAAGTGTCATCAACTTTTTTACAACCATAAATTTTGACGAAAAGAAAAACTAGCTCACCCTTTTTCTTATTTTTTTTTGAAATATCTACTTATGTCATTATAAGGACATATTGGGGACATTGAAATGAATTTATGGCAAAATTGATTATTTTCTGTCCCTTAATTGAGGCTAGGGGAGGTTTTTGATGTTATCAAACAAACAAGAAGGGAGGTTACTGTTATTATTAAATCAAGAAGGAAGGCTTTTGATTTTTACAAGAACTGGAAGGGAGCTTAGTGCAATTTACCCTTTATTTTGTACTGCATTCAGATGGTTTGCAAATTTACCCGTGCAAATTTTATTCTTATCCACCACGTAAATATGTAAAAAAAAAACAATAAGAAAACAAAACTGCCAAATAGCATCCAAGACATTTTACACTAAATACACATCTTTTCAATGCTTTTCCACTTTCCAATGTTTATTGCGAGTTTGAATCTAAGCAAATATATTGCAGTTCTGCCTCTAAACAATTTCAAAAGAATATAACTGACACTATAGTTTTGTAAAAAAAAGCTAAAACTAAAATGAGGAGAACTAAGCTACTGCTACTGCTATGGGACTTCGGACATTGTGGATGCTATTAGCATCATTCCAAGTGTACCATCCAAACTGGAACATATATGTGGTGAACTTTCACCAGCATCCTCCGTATCCTCTGCTTTTATTGAAATACTGAAACTTTTCTTCTCACCATACCTGTTAAAATACAAAATCGGTTTAGAAATGTGGACCGAGATGCCAACTGGAGGCTTCACTGAAGAAAAGTAGACACTTTTGCTACTGCTGCCAACACATGCCACTGTTCTCTTTATAACCACCGTTCCATTGAGTTTTGGAACAGCAACTGATGGGTAATTGAGGTTGTGTGGTGGAGGTGGATTCTTGGGGCAACTGAAGTTGAGTTTTAAATTCTTGAGATTGTATCCAATACTGCATAGGTGTAGAAGATAGTCTTTCATATGAAGCATCATAAACAAGTCCAGGATCTGCTGCCTTAGATGGCCTAAAGTGACCTGATCCGTATAGGAAGGGATTTGCTTCATTTCCAGATGCATCAGTTACTGGCTTACCCACGTTGTTCAATACTCCAGCTGCAAGTTCAGAATGTTGAAACATTAGACATGTATTGAATTTTTCTTTTCCCAAATCATATGTAATATTGTCGAATTCATAACATTTTTACAAAACATAAAGGTTTGGAAGTTTTGAACTTCTAATGGATATGAAAAGTGTCAGGTTGATCAATGCAGAGGCCCTTCCTGGGCCTGGACACGTGGCAGCCGAGGGTGACCCGAGTTGGGCTTGGAACCCGGGCCCATGGGGAACCAGCCCAGGACACGCGGCGGCTAGGGTTCCGCGGGGCTCCAGAGAGCTATCCCGCAGAGGGCGGGGAGAATCCCCCTCAGCGCGGGACTGGGAGCTATCCAGGGCAAGTTCCGAAACGTACGGAGGTCGGACTCCTCGGTAGGTATAAACAGTAACGCACAATGACTGCGCAAGGGACACTCACTGATTTCCGGACAATCACTCTCGACCGTTTACTTCCCGTGAACCTCACTCACCGGAAAATTAACTTGACCGTCGGAGTGCCCTCGGGGACGACCTTGGGGCCCCTGTCAGTTCACTCTCCTGTTTATCTTTCAGGCTTAGGACGCGCTCTTTCCATCATCAATCCGAGCTCATCAGGTCAGTTCGGTCCGGGGAAGTTCCGTGCTTCTTCAGTTGGCGCCGTCTGTGGGAACGAAGGTACGAGTATTTGCGTTGATGGCGAGAACGCGTTCCAAGCGAACCGTGGATAACACTGATCCCGGAGCCGATGAGGGGTCCCGGCGAATGGAGACCGAGGCGGCCCGAGGCGCCGGGGGCTCGGCCCTTTCAGGGGAACGGAGACAGCAGATCTATCAGTTTGTAACCGAGAACCTCCCCATGCTGGAAGACATAATCCGGCAGACGAAGGAGGGGGGTGAGGCCGGGGGTGCGCAGACCTCTAAGGCGAAAGGGAAGGAGAGGGAGTCGCCCCCCATTCCCTCGGAGGACGAGTCACGAGACCAGCCCCCCAGGAGGAAACGACCGCGGACTCCTCCCAGGCCGCGTGCCTCGGTGATCGGGGACAGTGAGAGATATTCTCGTGACCGGTCCGCTGGGGGCCGACCGAGGAATCCCTCCTCGTGGAAGCTTACGCGGAACGAGTCGGAGCGCTCCCCCGCCCGATCTATCAAGAGCCGGCCGCGAGACCCTCCCCAATGGCAGCCCGTCCAGAACGAGCAGCAGATCCTGCGTCCACAACTATACGAGGACAACTACGTAGCCTCGCCCTTCACCCGAGAGATAGAGGACTACCCGTTACCTTGGAGGTTTAAAATCCCGAACATCGAACTGTACGATGGTTCGACTGACCCGAAAGACCACATCTCGTTCTTCCTGACGCACATGCGTCTACAAACCGCCGCGGATGCACTCTGTTGCAAGACCTTCCCCATGTTTCTGAAGAGTAAGGCCCGGCTCTGGTTCCAGGGCCTGGCACCGGGGTCTATCCGGAGTTTCACCGAATTGGCCAAACAGTTCACCGCCCAATTCGTCTCCTCGAAAACTTACTCGAAAAACGCGGCTCACCAAGCAGAAGCCGAACAAGTCCCTGAAGAATTTCATGACTCGCTTCAACACTGAGAGCCTGCAGATCCGGGACAAGGATGAGAAAGTAGTGATAGCCGCCTTCATGAACGAGCTAAGGGTGGAGGAGCTCTACTATAAGCTTGCCGAACAGCCCCCCAAAAATCTGGAAGAGCTCCTGACCCGGGCTCACGCCGCCGCCAATGCGGAGGAGGCCGCCCGCCTGAAGAGAGAGTCAGATCGAGAGCTCGGAAATCGGAGAGGACGGGAAAACCCTCCTGAAACCAAGGACGGCCAGGCCAGAAAGAACGTCTTCGATCGCCTCTCCAAGGATAAAGCCCCCGCTCAACCGCCACTCCCGAAAAAAGGGTATACCCCCCAGACTCGACCCAGGGCACAGATCCTGGCCGTAATGGAGGCAGAGGGTCTAGGAGGACGGCCGCCCAAGATGGGGACGCCCCGGAATAAAAGGAACCAGGACCGGTACTGTGCCTTCCATCGAGATGTAGGGCATGATACGGAGGGATGCTGGGCCTTGCGGAAGGAGATTGAAGACCTGATCCAGCGCGATTTCTTGGGGCGGTTTGTGCAGCCAGGTCGGTTTGACCAGGAGCCGGGACGTACCTACCGCGGAGAGAGGGGCGAAGGCTACCGCCGCGACCGATCTGAGCGGCGTGACGCAGCTCTAGATCACTGCCCCGACCAGGGCACTCAGAACTTGGCGGGGGTGATAAACACCATAGTCGGGGGTCCCACGGGGGGAGACAGCCATACAGCCCGGAAGAACAGGCGACCTCCCCCAGACGGAGATGATTCGCTGAAGCGTCTGCGCATGGACGAGAAGATCACCTTCGGACCAAGGGACGCGGTTCCCTTGGCATCCGGAAATCATGAGGCCATCGTAATAGACATCGTCACCAATAATTACCGGGTGAAGAAAGTGTACGTCGATCAGGGAAGTGCAGTGGACATCCTGTTCTACAGGGTATTCAAGGAGCTCGGCCTGAAAAATGGACAGCTAACCCCTGTTCGGACACCTCTAGTAGGCTTTACCGGACCACCCATCAATCCGGAGGGGATGATCACCCTGATGGTCACAGTAGGTCAGGCACCCAGATGCCGGACCATCCCCGTCAACTTTGTGGTGGTCAAGCAGCCATCCCCGTACAACATATTCCTAGGTCGGCCCGCTTTGAATGCCCTCCGAGCGATTCCCTCATCGCTCCACTTTAGCGTCAAATTCCCCACCCCGAGAGGAGTTGCCGAGATGAATGGAGATTCGGAGGTGGCCCGAGTTTGTTACTTAGCCATGCTCCGGGGACACGAGAAGGTGGTCGCTCAGGCGACCAGTTTGGAGCCTTACATCCCGGGGGAGGAGGATCGGCAACTGGGCACTCAGGACGAGATCGAGGAGTTCCCATTGAAGGAGGACAGGCCTGACCAGGTAATCCGTATCGGTGCGTCGCTACCGCCCAAAGAGAAGGATGACTTGAAGGCCCTCCTGAGGGAGTACATCCAGGTTTTCGCTTGGACAGTAGAGAACTTGCCTGGGATTCCGACTGACCTGGTCGTCCACCACCTCAACATAGACCCCCGCTTTAAGCCGGTGAAACAGAAGAAGAGGAACTTCGCTCCAGAGAGAAATGAGGTAATCAGGAAGGAGGTCGGTAAACTGCTGGAATCCGAAATCATCATGGAAGTCTACTACCCGACCTGGTTAGCCAACCCTGTCCTGGTAAAGAAGGAGAACCAGTCCTGGAGGATGTGCGTTGACTTTACAGATCTCAATAAAGTCTGCCCGAAGGACTGCTTCCCCCTGCCGAGAATCGACAGGTTAGTAGATGCTACTGTTGGTTTTGACGTTTTGTGTTTCCTGGATGCTTTCAAGGGATACCACCAGATAGAGATGGCTGAGGAGGATCGGAAAAAACTTCGTTCATCACCGAGGAAGGGACCTACTGCTACCGGACTATGCCATTCGGGCTAAAGAACGCCGGAGCTACTTACCAGCGTTTGGTCAACAAATTGTTCCAGAACCAGATCGGCAAAAACATGGAGGTCTACGTGGACGACATGATCGTCAAGAGCCGAGCAGGACCACAGCTCGTCCCCGACCTGAGGGAGATCTTGAACATCCTCTGGGAAAATCGGATGCGGTTGAACCCGAAGAAGTGCACCTTCGGAGTTAGGTCGGGCCGGTTCCTCGATTTCTTGGTCTCTCGAGAAGGGATCCGGGCTAACCCCGAAAAATTCCAGACCATCATGGACATGACCACTCCACGGAATGTGAAAGAGGTCCAACGACTCGCGGGAAGGATGGCTGCCCTGAACAGGTTTCTCTCACGGTCCGCGGTAAGGAGGCTCCCCTTCTTCCGAATCCTAAAAGCGCCCAAGGACTTTCAGTGAATCGAAGAGTGCCAGAAGGCTTTCACCGACCTGAAGGCGTATTTGGCCGAACTGCCCACCCTGACCGCCCCGGAGCAGGGAGAAACCTTGTTCCTGTACTTGTCCGCTTGCAACGAGGCCGTCAGCGCGATTTTGGTGCGGGAAGACAGGGGGGCTCAGAAGCCAATATATTATGTTAGCCGTGCCTTACAAGGTCCGGAAACGCGGTACACGGCGGCAGAAAAACTAGTTCTCGCCCTGGTGCATGCTGCCCGGAAGCTCCGACCTTACTTCCAGACCCACAGCATTGTGGTCATGACCGATCAGCCCTTGCGACAGATACTCACAAAACCTGAGGTCTCGGGTAGGATGACTAAGTGGGCCGTCGAACTTGCCGAGTACGACATCGGTTACCAGCCCCGCACCGCTATCAAAGCCCAGGCCCTAGCAGACTTCCTCGCCGAAGGAGCCAGTCTGTCCACAACTGAGCCGAGCTCTCTGCCAAAGGAGGCCAGGCCGGAAGAGTCTTGGGTACTGTTCGTGGACGGGGCCTCGAGCAAGGAGGGAAGCGGAGCTGGCCTGCTACTCACCTCGCCCACCGGGGAAGAGCTGACCTATGCGCTCAGGTTCGACTTCCCGGCGTCCAATAACGAGGCCGAGTACGAGGCCCTCTTGACAGGGTTGCGGATAGCCCACCAGATGGGTGTAACCGCGATCAAGGTTCGGAGCGACTCTCAATTTGTATTCAACCAAGTCCGCGGGGAATACGAATCTAAGGAGGATGTCATGAAGAAATATTTGGCCAAGGTACGAGAGGCGAGAACCCTGTTTGACATTTTCGAAATCGAGCGGGTGCCGAGATCACAGAACAAGCGGGCGGACGCCCTGTCGAAATTGGCATCCGCCTCGTTTGCCCACCTTTGCAAGGAAGTCCTAGTTGAGGTGGTCAAACAAAAAAGCATTGATCAGATTCAGGTCCTGGTCATAGACAGCCCGGCATCATGGATGACCCCCATCGTAGATTTCCTCAGCTCGGGAAACCTTCCCGCCAACAAAATCGAAACCCGCCGACTCCAGCTCAGAGCTGCTAAGTACGCCTACGCCGAGGGAACCCTCTACAAGAGGTCTTATTCATCCCCCTGGCTAAAGTGCGTAACTCCTGAAGAAGGCGATTACGTCCTCCGTGAAGTCCACGAAGGATTATGCGCGGCGCATGTGGGGTCCCGGGTACTGGCCAAAAAGTGCCTTCTCCTGGGCTACTATTGGCCCTCGGTGTTCCAAGATGCGGCGGCTCTGATTTAGAAATGCCGAGCATGTCAGGTGCACGCCCCGCTGCGCCACCAACCCACTTGAGAGATGGTCCCCATCCACAGTCCTTGGCCCTTTGCTCAGTGGGGAATAGACCTCTTGGGTCCCTTCCCCCGAGCTCCGGGAAGGTACGAGCATCTCGTGGTGGCCATCGACTATTTCACGAAGTGGATGGAGGCCGAACCCCTAGCCACTATCTCCGGAAGGGCAATTCAGAAGTTCTACTGGAAAGCATAGTCTGCCGCTTCGGGATCCCGCATGACTTGATATCCGACAACGGGCGACAGTTTGCTGAAAATCCCTTCAAAAGCTGGTGCGCAGAGTTCGGGATTAACCAACACTTCACCTCGGTCGGACACCCCTAGGCCAACGGACATGTGAAGAATGTCAACCGAACCATCCTACAGGGGCTAAAGACTAGACTGGAACTAGCCCAGTCTAACTGGCTAGACGAACTACCTAGCGTCCTCTGGGTTTACCGCACCACGCCGATGACAGCCACTCATGAGACCCCGTTTTCCCTGACTTATGGGGCGGAGGCGGTGGTGCTCGCGGAGGTCGGCCCGCGGAGAAGGAACTCAGTCAGCCGAATTCATAGCTCCAACAAGCTTGATCCAAACTGAGAAGGGCCGTACAAGATCTTAGAGACAAGCTGGGCTGGGTACTGTAAGCTTGCAAAATTAGACGGAGTAGAGGTATCTCGCACTTGGCACTTTTCGAATCTGCGATTATTCGTAGGATAGGCTAGTCCAGGGTATTTTGCTGTATTTTTTGGGATTCTCGTACTCATTCAATAAATGTTAACTTTCCAAGTTTTAAGTCCCTTCTCGTTCATATTATATTTCTCACTTCTGCACTAGTACACTCAACTAATCCTAAGTGTCCTAGTGGGGGGCTCGGGGGAGATATGACAGGGGATAATGAACTGACTGCCCTTAAAGTTGAAACTCGACCCGGGAGGTCGGCGGCCAGGGGACAAGTCGAAATAACGAATCGACGGAAAGCCTTCAAAGTCTGAGAAGTGATGCTCGACCCAAGAGGTCGGCAGGACTGCCTCTAAAACTCTGTCGATCGACCCAGGAGGTCGGCGCAGCAGAAAGACCCCAGGGCTCCATGCTCGACCCAAGAGGCCGGCTCCGCTTCAGTAGATCAGGTTTGACGTTCGACCCTAGAGGTCTGCGTAGCTTGAAGCCTAGATGTTTTATGCTCGACCCAAGAGGTCAGCACGCCGCCTGGGTGGATCTATTTGGTGCTCGACCCAGGAGGTCGGGGTTTCTTTTTGGTTACCAGAGTTCACCGCTAACAAGGGAATTGATAGACAAATTAGACAATTTCATTTAAACTTCATCTCATATATACATTCAGACCCTATCTATTACAAAGCCTACCGAGCTATACAACGAAAGGGGAATCTAGCTACGCCTTCTTCTTGCTGGCGACCTGCTTGAGATGGGAGCTGAAGGTACACCTTAAACATGCTGGAAGGTGGGAGCTGAAGGTACACCTTAAGCATGTTGGGGGACGGGTGGAGAAGGTTGTTAAAAAGGATCTGTGGAGATCATGGATTGCGGGGCATGGTCATATATTCTTATATGAGAATGGAAAGGGTTTCTGGAGTGACCGCTGCCCTAAGCCACAGGCTCCTTCCCGGAAGCCCTGCCAGGAGTCTCCTCCTCCTCCAGGGGAAGCTCCGCCAGTTCGGTCCCCACATCGCTCCTGCCCACCAGGTCCTTCAGGGCATGCCCTTTGCAGTACCCATCGAAGAGCCAGTCCAGCTTCCCCTCGGCTGCGGGGTTGTAGTCTTTGAAGTCAGCCAAGTTAAAGCCGGGTGGGTTGAGGCTCTTCACCTGGTCCAGGGCCCGCGTGGCGCCGATCTGGAAGATGGGCTGGTTGAGGTAGGCCACGTTCTCGGAAAATCGTTCGGAGGAGATGAAATCCCGAACAACCTTCTTGCGCTCCCGGCTGACGGTGCCGGAGAGTTCAATGGCGTCGTCCTCCCTCAGTTTCGCCACGCCCTTCTTCTCCTGGTCCAGCTCGGACCAGGTAGCGGCGAGCTGGACCTGGGCCTCCTCCAACCTCTTCTCGGCTTTGCCCGGTTTAGCCTTAAGGGAGCCCGCCTCCTTAAGGGCTTGGGCAAGTTTCTACTCGGTTTCCCGATTCTTCTTTTGTAATTTCTCCAGATCGGGAGATAGTTCGGAGAAGTGGGTCACCAGGGCGGCGCCGGCGGCATGGGCCTAGAGGGAGGAAAGTAAACGTTAGCACTTCGTCAAAGGAAAAAACAAAATTCCTAGGGGTGTAAGCGGAAAAGGGGGCTTACTTGGGCCCGAGCGGTGCAGTACACGTCCTGGATCTCGGACGGGCTGGCCAGCTCCATCCACTTTCTGTCCCGTGGAAGGACTGATCCCGCAACCCACTCGCGAGCCACTTCGGGGAACTGGACTCGGTCATTGAGGGAAAGCTCCCAGGACGGGCAGAAGCGACGGGGGTCGTGCATGGTAGGGGCCTGTCCCGGCTTCACGGGGGCCACGTGGCGGAAGTGCCACAAGCTCGGAGGAGCGCTCTCCCGCGCGTGCTCCTCCGCAGAGCCAACCCCCAAGTGGACAGGGCCCCCCGAATTCAGCTGGAGAGGGCGCTGTGCTGAGGCCTGCGTCGGCTTCTTGCCGGGTTGGGAAGACTCGTCCTCTTGGCCTCTCTTCTGTCCCGTCGCCTTCTTTTTGCCGGCGATCGGCTTGGAAGGGGACTGAGATTGGGAGGCCTCCTTTTAGGGGGTCGAGTTGCCCCCAGTTGCCGCAGAAGCCTCGGGGGCCTTCTTCGCCGTCTCCGGCTGCGTGGTGGGGTCGGCCTGCTCGGTTGGCGGGCCCAGTAGTCTTGAGAGATTCCTCACTGCAGCAAAACACAACCAGGTCAGTAAAAAAGGGCAGTAACAGAAGTGAAGATGAAGCCACATATAACAAAGGAACATGTGCAGTATTACAGGTATCTGTGTCGGCGGGGGAAAACGCCACTTTTCCAGGGGACCCGGACAACGTCCCCAACAGCTCGGCCGCGGAAATCTGCTCGGTGGAGAACTTGGCTGCGTACAACTTTACCGCAGAGCCCAGCAGCTGGCCGAAGGTCTCAGGGTCCAGGTCCTCTGGGCAGGGGTCGTCCCCGACCCCCCCACCCTTCCACGTGTTGGGAGGAAAGCGGGTGGTTTTAACGAAAAAGAAGTCCCCCTTCCAGTTTTTTACGGAAGAGGGGACCCCGTAGAGAAGTCCTGGGTGCCCTTACCGCCGTGATTGCTGGGGGACCGGCGGGAGAAGTAGTACCACCCAGGGAGAGAAGCCTTGAGGGCATGGGAAGCTCAGAAGAGAGAGAGAGAGTAGCGGATGTCGCAGATCTGGCAGTAGATCAGGAATCTTATGATGATTCTGATCGAGTTGGGATGGACCTTGGTGATCCTGAGTCCCCAGTAGCTCAGGATCTCGGCCAGGGCCGGAGGAATGGGGAGTCGGAGCCCCGCGACCAGTTTCCCTCTTTGCAAATGGCTACAAAGCCCGGGGGAGGTCGGCAGGTCCGATCGGTGGGTCCGGCGGCTCGCGGCTCGAAGGCCGGAGGGATGGAGAAAGAGGCGGCCAGCTCGGCCACTGCCCCGGGTGAGAGGGTGACCTCCTCCCGGTCGGGGTGACCGTAGTTAAACTCGGAGTCGTCCCCCTGCTCGGAAGCAAGGGTCCCCTCAGAGGAATCCCTGTCCTCCCCAGCTCCCCCTGGGCTCCGCCAGGGGAGTTATGTGGAGACTTGGGGGAGGGGATGGAGGCGGCTTGCTGCTCGATGAGGGCATTGAGCTCGGCCACCTCCTCTAGGAGTCGGGCATAAGGAGAATGGGCGGATGGAGAGCTCATGATGTCAATAGGCTCTAACAAGTCAGGAATGGGGAAATTGGGATTGGAAGAAGAGAAAGAAGGAGGAGGAGGAGAAGATGAACATGAGGACGATGAAGATGAGGACGAGGAGGAGATGAAGATTCTAGGGGCTCTACGACGGGCCGGAATCTGGGATGCGGTGGAAGTGACGCCGGAATGGTCCGACATAAAATGCAGAAGGTGGCCAAAGGAGAAAAGGAAACGCGAAAGAGGAGGGGAGAGAACTTACTGATAATCGAAGTGAAAAAAGGATGGAGAAGTCGCCGGAATCTGGGTGCTGGAAGCCGGAAGCCTTGTTGCTGGGAATTGGAAATGCACGAGGAAAGGAGAAAATGACAAATAAAGTTAAACGGAATTTGGCAGCCACTATTTATAGGGGACGAAATGGGGGGGAAACGGTTTGCTTGAATTCGAACCGCTCCATGTGAATGCATTCAAGAAGCGGTACGGAGAGCGAGGGGACGCGACAACTGAAAGGACGCGGGCACAGCTTTCCAGTAATGGCACTGTACTGGAGATGACCGTGGCAGAGCAGGGCGCAGTGCTGGCCTCCCACGTGGCAGGGTTACAGATTAGGTCTGCTCGGAAGCCCCACCTAATCTAGGGGGCTAGTGTAGAGGCCCTTCCTGGGCCTAGACACGTGGCAGCCCAGGGTGACCCGAGCTGGGCTTGGAACCCGGGCCCATGGGGAACCAGCCCAGGACACGCGGCGGCGTGAAGGATGAAACAGGTCATTTTCCCACAAGATAATTATGGTAAGCCTACTCTTAGCAGCATGGCTATCATCATGGTAAGCTGTACCCTTTTTTTTTTTGTTACTTAAAAAACATACTGCTGCTTTTAATCTAATTTTCACAATTTTTGTGTTCCTTACAAATTTTTATAGAGAGCTTTTCAATGACATTTTGTATGCTTGGAAATAATGACCAATTAACATCTTAGCAATATTACATTGATAAACGAAGTTGTTCTAGCTAAATAGTTTTTAGTTGTAAGGAAAAATGTTGAAAAGTAAAGCATCCCATTTGTTTATTTTTGGTTGGCAAGATAGCTGCAAAAATTTCTTGCATTTTCGGGTAATTTTCTGTACTA